CATCAATAATTTCTCCTAATTATACAAAATAACCTATTAATGGGTATTAATTGGGACCAATTGTTTGTCTATCAGCATTTAAATAATTTTTTGATTATATTCCAATCATTTTTGGCCCATTTTTCGCCTTAAAATGACATCCATGCACATCCATGCTACATCCATGCTACATCCATGCTACAACATGGATCTACCATGGAACCTCAATCGCCAGGGGGGAATTTATTTCATAACGCTTGGAAATAGTAATATGACAATACGCTAAATACTTGAGGAATTTAACAAATGCAGCTGTTGGGAATATTTAATGAAAGGGACCTCATGAATGTTGAGTCTTCTTGGAATTGTAAGTAACATAAAAACCCATGAGAAAGGAAAATATATTTACAAAATATTTAAATAAATTTATTAAGATTTCTATATAACCGACCAGCACCTCGATTCCATTCGCCCAGAACTCCAGCAGATGCCGCCACCCCTCAACTTCTCAGTTGACACACCAGCCATCCAGTTGCCCAGTTTACAAATCGATCACTCCTGCAAGTCCCACTGTGCTCATTCAAGAATTGGTTGTCTAGGTTGGCCTGCAATCTGCGTACCACGGAAATAAGTTCACCTGAGGATCAGTACTAGCGCCCCTTGCTCTCCTCAGTGTATCAATTAAACAATCGCCTCTAATTACAAAATAGCCCCCTGATGTCGAGGACTCGATTGCCCCCTCGATCTTCAGGTGAATATGTTGTACAATTGACACATAGCAGCAGAAGGCTGCAAAAGTGAAACTCAAAATGACTGATCAGTCATCTTGGCTGGTTTACTATCACTAACAAATAAAAAGATCATTGCAATTGCTGAAAGGGATCACTGTCTGTGTGTACAGTAGTGAGAACGAGACAACGAAGGGATATGATGAGGTAACAAACCGAGAATGAGATATAGAAGTGGTGACCTCCTCAGCTATGCAGTCCTTACGCTCACTTTGCATCTCAATGGTTAGTAAGACAGAAGATTTCCACGTAAACATTTAAACGACTATTGTTGTTGAATAATTTACCTTTCTTGAAAACGTTAAATATGGGAATTTCGACGATTTATTTGAGAAGGACTTTCATCCCAATTTCTATATATTGAAAATAGGGCATTAAGCTCTGTGACACTCACTCCCACAGTCTTGAGTTTGTTGATCTTAATTGTTTGTTGTTGTTTTATTGAGTCTTGTTGATCTTAATTTATTGTTTGTTAGTAACTGAGAACTGTTTCATTTCATTTGACCATTTCTGATGGTATGCTAATTTTAATGTGAAGAAGCAAAAGGATATTTTAACAAACATAACATGTCTTATTTATGTTGTTCATTTCCATGTTGTCAACTCAATTGAGGATGTAGATCATGGGATAATTGAATAGTATTGAATAGTATAGTATAGTGTAGAATAGTAATAAAATTTTGTTATCTTTTTTCATTGTTCCAACTATTATAATACACGGTCAATCCCTGTGAAAGTTTTTATATTTGGGTAAAACAATTGGAGAGTTTGATGATAAAACAGGTCAAGTTGATGGTGGAGGTGTATGCAAAGACTCGCAAGGACGGACTTACGAAACTGGCCACTTGTTCATACCTGAGCCCTGCACTGTGTGCATCTGCGACAATGGGAATCCCAAGTGGTGTAAGGAAGTCATATGCACTCTGCCGCAGGTAAGGGAAAATTTTTGATTAGTTTTGCGTAAATAAACCCTCAACCTGATTTCCATGAAAATTGAGTATTCTACGGAGCTAAGGGGAAATTTCATCCCAAAATTTTCATAAATGAAAAGTAGTTATTATTATGTCAAGCTCAAAAATTCAGTAACTCGATTCAAACAGTCAAATCATGGAAGTATTCATTTGGAATTCTCTTAGCTTCATGACATCATAATTATTTAATACTCAACTCACGTTTTTTTATTACATTTTAATTGGTAAGCTCCGACTGATAGAAGAGATAAGGCCAATTTATAACTGATTCCTCTACATTCTCTACATTCTTCTACATAGGATGACTGATGAAGATGACTGATTAGATTTTTGTAACCCAATTGAACTCGACATTTTTCATAAAGATTTATTGAGAAATAAATTTTCCGTGAATTTCTTACTAATTTATTCAGAAGTTTCTTGTACTCAAATGTAATCAATCAAATTATTTCATAACAAGACTATTAACGGAATTCCATCAATTTATTTGGATTTATAGATTTAGCGTAATTTGATAATCTATTCAAATGTCCGTAATCACGGTTATTCATGTTTGCCCCATATATTGATCTACAATATATGCAATTTTTGAAACGGAGGAATAGAAGAGAGCTGAACTAACAAAATGATAAAATTTTACTTCCGGGCTCATTACAATTTCTTACATAAATCGAAAAGTTGATTTTGCGTAAAACGTCGCGTCATTTAAAGGGAGACTACAACGAGTTTTAAAAGTCGCGGGCTATTAGAATGCGATTTCTTATACATTGAAGATCGATTATGTACTTCTAAATATGAATAATTAGTGCAAAACAATTAATTTTTTATTGTTTGTTTGCCCCACAGACGCTTAAAATGTTGAAAATAGTCCAGGGCCTCCATTTTTTGAGCTACAGCGGTTTCTTTTTTTTCAAAATTTTTGAAAAAATATGTGCGACAACAATTACGAATTATTATTTTTGAAATTCAATCCTTACACAGCTAATTTCATTATTTTTTTAAATAAAAAATTGCATCATTCATGTAAAATAACCTGAAAAATGTTTCTGAAAGAATCGAGAATATATTTTAAATATTTTAAGGAAAATTTTTCTGCTTATTTTAAATGAATGGCGCCAATTTTTATTTAAAAAAAAACGAAATTAGCTGTGTAGGAGTCGAATTTCAAAAAACTAATTCGTAATTATTATTGCACACATGTCTTCAAAAAAATTCCAAAAAAAAAGAAACCTCTGTAGTTCAAAAGTTAGAGGCCCTGGACTATTTACATTTTGAGCGTGTGGGGGGAAACGAACAATGAACAATCAATTTTTTAGCACTAATTATTCGTTTTTAGACATATATAATCGATCTTCAATGTATGAGAAACCTCACTCCAATCGCCTGCGACTTTTAAAACTCATAGTAGTCTCCCCTTAATGCGTATGGCGTACAGGGTGTCTCAAAACTCTTGACAAAATTTTTAAGGGTTGAAAGAAAATAAAATTCGAGGCGAAAGTTCCTCTTCAACTTTGTGATGTGGGCGCATAACCGACGAGTTATTAATGAATGAAATTGACCAGTGACCCCACTGCCGGGCTGGAATTCAATTCTTCGTTATAATCAAAATTATTTTCACAAAATTTTCATATAAAAAAATAAGTAGGGTGGCGGAGGCTATCGATTCTGATCTATTTTCGCCGATCCAAAGCAATTATAATGATGCTGATATCCGTTTTAGAGGAACCCTCCTCGTCCTCTTCCCCAGTCGCTACACTTGGAGCCCATCGTCGTCGTCAATTAATCAATTTTAACTTCATCAATTAATATTCTTTAACTATCGCCGAATTAATTTGCAGAATTTGCCACTCTTTCATCTCTTGAAATTTCGTTTAGGAGTGTTACTTTTTAAAGGTAAAAAGGGTGCTCTTTTCTGTTTAAAGGGCACCCTTTATACAGAAAAAAATGTTTATATGCAATGTTTTAATCGTAATAAATAGAAAATTGTCAATTCTATTACATACAACTCATGTATCGTGCGATACAAACAGATATCATATAGGGTAAACAGGTCAATTTCTGGACGATTTCAACTTGCATTGAATATTGCATAAATAAAATAAAAATTGTACTGATTATTTCACCTTTCAATAATATTACTCGTGTAATCATGTAATCAATTATTTTTTCTATTGATCGACATTTCATCAATAAAAAAAATATGGCCCAGTCGTCCGGAAATTAGGGATTTCGGCTGCATTCAACTATTTCTTAATTTAATTCTTCTTTGTTTTGTTATTTTCATTTCAAATAATTTTTTTCTGTTATGTAAAACATTCTTGAAGGTATGGAAGCCATCATATCCCCATTTAGGTAATTCTTTTATTTTGATCCTACCACGAAACTCAAATTCCCCTTCATCGTCCAGCGATTGGCCTGTTCACCCTTCATCATTTTTAAGCTCGTTCTATATTTAACAAAATAATTCCATCATCTTCGTGTAGGAGCATTCAAATATTACGTCACCCTTTTTTCGGACATTTTAGACCCCCCCCCCTCCTCCCTCCGTCACAAGACCATCACAAGCGTGAACCCCCCTTGCATATTACGTCACAAAATTTACGACCTCCCCCCCTACTTTATGTAGAGAACAATTTTGTATTTTTTTTTTAGTGTAAAAAACAACCACGTAAATAATCAATTTTTGCTTTGATACTTTCTGAATATGTCAACTTATTATCATAGCATTCGAAAAATAATTTGTTTGCGAATCGTTGGGATACTTGGGAGAAAAAAAGTTCTTCAAATAATTAGTCTTATGGGCAAGTCAAATGAATTTTTATTAAAATGAGTGAAGGGTCCTTTGAAAACCCTTTTTTTTTTGGTATGAACAGATGTTGATCAATGAACGCTTCATCGTTCCATTCTTCATCTTCGTCGTCTTCAATATTACATGTGACTGCCAAAAGTTCCCTTTGACGGTTGACGGCAATTCGCACAGAACGCACAGTTGAAATAACTGCCATCACTGCAGAGATATGCATAATAAACCTCACATTTTTAGCCTTATTGTTTTTTATTATTCAGCACAAACCCGGTTGGTTTATACAGCTATCTTTAGCTTCCTTTCCAAGTTGATGTCCGATTTTCTTTTCGTGGAAAGGACGGGTGAAAAATAGTACTTTTCGTCACTAGGCCAGAAGAATATTTTTTATCATTTGCCGGCTGTACGTCTGTGAAACGCTGCCTTGCAGACTAAATGGCGAAAAGAAGCATTCCTGACGTTTGAAATTAAAAAAAAAAACATGGTGTGACATCACAATCTAAGAAACACCCCCTCTCCCGCTGTCACAGTTGAAATGCAGCCCCCCCCCCCGAATCACGTGACGCAATATCTGAACGCTCCCGTGTGAACAGCAAAAAAACCAAATGACTCGTCTCTCAATTTAATTTTATGAATTGTCTATTAAATCTCCAATACCAGAATTGAATCCAGCTAAAATTCGCTCACATACAATGGGGGAATATGCAAAACTCGCGAGGTTATAACTTTACAAGGAAATGACTGATAAATATTCTCCAATACAAATCACAAAAATGAAATGAATATTTTTTTTATCGTTGATTCTTTGTAATCACTTGTTAACATCGATGGACATACAGCAATTTCATCATATATGTTTATTAAGGACAAAAGGGATAATACATGCAATGGAATTTCGAATATAATATGAATTTACTTTCTCAATTCATTTATCTTCCACTCATTAGTATCATTCCCACTCCATAGTCCATTTCAATAGGGGGTATTAATTACTCTCATCAATAAATCCATCAGGCTGAATCTAATGACTCTGCTTTATTGATTCTATCATAATTCTGTAATAATTAATTACTGAATCATTAACAGTGGAATGATAAAACATGCCGATTGTACACATCCTGTTTAAGGTTGAATCATTTTGATAATGCGTGGTTTTAGGCAAAATATCGGGAGAATCTGTCTCGGACGAATTTCAGATGTTGCTAGATGTCCGAATCCGTCTCATATGAACCTTTGTCTGAGACATATCGGACGAAACAAGCATCTTAAATTCGTTAAACAAAGAGAATTAGAATTTAGATAGAAAAAATCCCCGCACCGGCCAGCCGAGATTCGAAGCCGTGTTCCCCAGTTAAGCTACCGAGAACTACGGAAATTCTCTCTCCAAATTCGCCTCACAACACCGCCTAACCACCTTTAGGCATTAAATATTCAAAGAGAATTAGCATTTAGAGAAAATGAATGATCTCTCTCGAATGGATTTCAAATGTTCGTATTTGTTCGAATCCGTCTCATAGGAACCTTTGCCTGAGAAAGATCGGACGAAACGAACATCTTAAATTCGTCCCAGACAGATCCTTTATTTTTGTTGGAAGATCTTCCGACGAAGAGCATGGACGAGACAAGGTCTCGTAACACTCGTTTTCTGGCTACGTATAATGTTCAAATAATATGTATAAAAGTCTACATGAAAAAGGGCCCCTTTTGCGGCGTTGAAGTTGTTTATCTTCATTATAAATTAAATTGAATTATATATTGATTATATTCCGCTCATTTGACGATTACAACAACTCTGATAAAGTGAAAAATGGCGATCAAAGATGAAATAAGTGGGAAATTGCTCTTGTATTGCATATAGTAGAGTTATTTGTGCTCATAAATTAACAATACGCTTTCGAATGGTTATTTTGCACATTCATTTGATGAAATTGAATAACATTTCTTTTTCGCTAACTTTGTGAGATTTTCAATTTAGTTGAATGTTATCATCATCATTATTCTTTTTATCCCTTTCTCCTATACAAACAATTGTATTTTTTACGGTTCAATCTCTCCCATTAACCCTTCGATAAAATGTTAATAGAAAAATTTTATTTGGACATACTTGAATGAATTTGAAACATCACATTTGAAGAAACTCTCAGAAAGCTCACTTTGATCCACCATATTATGCACGAAAATTCCTAATTAAACTAGATAACAACTCTATTGCTGTAATTAACGAGTTTCTTCTCAAATCTTCCATAAAAATCTGAAGTGTATTGTTAATAGTTCTAAGCTACCACAACATCTGTAAATAGTTCATATGGTCTCATTTTTATAACGAGAAATATGTATCTAAATTGAACTGTAATTGTTCAGAAATGCTGAAATTAAAAAAATACCTCACTTTGAGGAAAATTCATGAAAAATTCGAAATTTTCAAGAATCATCATAAAAATCCAATCAACCAATATAACTATCGTAATCATCTTTTAACTTCGACTTAATGGGATTAAAACAATCATTTTAAGCTATGATTGAATTCATTTGAAGCATACTATTCAAATATATCCCCGGAATTCTCATTTTCAAAAAATACAGAATTTTTGCAAATTGAAAAAAAATCAAAATATCCCTTCACGTATGAAAAGATCCTATGGAAATTTTCTATACGGATCGCGTATAGAAGTTCCGTACTATTTCCGTATATGATATTCGGCTATTTCGATATGGATATTTTTTATAGAAATTATTTCTATACGATTTCTATAGGTTTGATTCTATATGTACAATCCACATATATAGAAACATTTCGTATGAAGTTGCGACATTTCTCTACTTTTTTCTCTGGAGCGTTTGGACATTTTTCGTATGAAAACAAAAATCTATGTAAAAATTTATATATAGAAATAATTCGTATAGAAATATCCGAATATTATATACGGAAATCCTATAGAATTTCTATACGCAATCCGTATGGACATCTATACCCCAGGTAGAAATGTCTTACAGTTGCATGGTTGAACCCAGCGGCTAGGCGGCATTATAATGTTATGCATTTTTGACACTTTGCTGGGCTGTCGCTACCGATACTCAGCCCGGCATACGAAAACCTCTGCATTTATCTAACTATACATGTCGGGGAGTCGCTACAGTGCAGTGAAATATCTACGCCAAGCTCTTTCGTAGATGCAGCCTCAAGGGTATTATGGCGGGGTCCATAGCTGCAAAAAAAAGCAGAGAATTCAATGAAAATTGCTGAACAGATTATTCGACCCATTTGAAAGCCGTGTGCAAAATGTCAAGACCCCTACTTAAACAATAATAATGGGAATATTTTTTGAAGTTGCTACTTATACATGCAGTTGAATGGGGCATCGGTAATTTTTGTGAATTTCCTACGTTATCGATAGATCAATAACGTAGGAAAAGCACTAGAATTACCGATGTCCCATTCAACCGCGTGTATAAGTAGCAACTTCAAAAATTATACCCATTATTATTGTTTAAGTAGGGATCTTGACATTTTGCACACGGCTTTCAAATGGATCGAACAATCTGTTCAGCAATTTTCATTGAATTCTCTGCTTTTTTTCCAGCTATGGACCCCGCCATAATACCCTTAAGGCTGTGGCTTCCCAGCGACAACCGAGCATTGCTATCCATTTCGTTCCGGTACAAATTTCGTTTTTTTTCGTTATATATTTTAACTATCAAATATTTTATGGAGAGCAACCGAGAGAATAGAATTTTTCTATAGCACTCATTGCGATGACATAGATGTAAAAATGCCTTGGCTAAAATTGCTGATTTTTTTTTATTTTTTCATTTGGAGGAGAAAAATAAAATAAAAAACGTAAAAAAATAGTGTGAAGGAATTGTAAGAGCAAATATCTCAATAGAACAACCAACAAAATTTTCAATGATGCAATGGAATTTTAATAATCACTCGCAAATGATAGAATTTTAATAGTTAGCTTGAATACTATTGGATATTTCGATTGTCTTAAAATTATTTTTCTATTCAATCTTGAATTATATCTGTAATGAGTCATTTTTTACGAATATGCCAAAAAAGTTCTTGAAGAAATTGAATTATGCGCAAAAATATTGGTTGTTGAAAGTACACGGAGAGAAATATTCAATAAAAATTACGCATCTTTTCCGTAATTCCGGAGTAAAATATAGTTATAGGAAATTTGACAGACCTCTCATGAAATTTTTCCAGAGCGTTCCGTAATTTTTATCTGAATCTCCTGTAAAAAATTACGATACCGTCACATAAATTTTGTGAGTCGATTTCGTAATCGGTGAGCGAATTGTGAGTTCCGTAATTTTTACTGAACGTTTCTCTCCGTGTATTCTGTGCAGAAAAATAGAATGGAACTTATTAACTAGGTACATACAAAGTTCGGTTTGTTACAAGTACAATTTTTGTTTAATTATGAATTACATTAGTATGGGAAATCCCTAATGGAAATGGTGAGAGCCCTTCCGAAATGAATTGGATAATTAAAAATAAACTTGTATGTAAATAACTAGCCAATCATATACTATCAGTCATTCATGAGGACGTCTTTGGGCTCGTCGTCAGCGTGCTGGCCCTATAAACCAAAGCGTCCCAGTAGCGCAGGTTCGAGTCCCGGTGATGAAAGATTTTTTCATCGTCGGAAAACGAACCCAGTGCATGTGGAGTTAGATATAAGTTAGCTTAGAGGCAAGTGTGGGTAGGGAATTAGACTGGGGTACCGCGTAGGTACTGGGACGGGTAGGTAAAAGACCACAACGGTCATACCATCTGGCACCACCCAATTTTACTATCAGTCATTCCGATTTTTATCCAGGTATTCGTTATTCATTCTTGAATCAAGTCAGTAATAAGCGAATTGTGAGAAAAATGTCAACTAAATTGTTTACTAAAAAATACATTTGAAGATGAACAGGTGTCACCATTTCGTCAAGAAAAGATCCTTGTATGTATAATCAATTCATAAACCCATATTAGTCGAAACAGTTTCATCGTTGCTTGAAGTTCGGAGTAAAATAATTGTCATTCATATCTTAAGATAATTAACCCCTCACGTACGAGCTCGGTATGTCATACCGACCTATGCAAAAACGCACGGCTCTTTTCAAAATCGAATATTTCCGAAACTATGGCACATAATACAATCGGACTAATACCATTGGGGAGGTGAATACTATAGCTTCAATTATATATTTTATTTATAATTTCTCATTCAACAGAAAATATGGGATGCGAAGAGTATTGAGTGTGTGGTAGACTTGGTATTAGAAAGGTCCTGTACGTGAGGGGTTAATCAAACGAAAAAAATATTTTATATAAATTGACTTTCATCAATTTGTAGCCAAATTATCACTGTGAAAAATTTGAATTTGAGAGATATATGTTCATAGAATTATGAAACTAAGATCAGAAAAGAAGTAATCCGAATGGAAAAATTGTAGGTGAAAGGTCCTGAAGAATTCCGCAGCATTATAAAACACAAACTGGAATACTGTGTCTTTATGATTCGAAAAATGATTGATACCAATGATAAATCAAGAAGAGATGATTCTTGTAGAATTAAATATTCAAACTTATTTGCTTGACCAACATTTTTCGAGTTTTTTTAGTCAGTATTTTTCATATAAATCCGTGAATCATTCAAAGTCTGTTCTTCGGCAAAGATCGTGTAACGTCGGGAAGCCTTAGCGGTCCGAACGAGCGTTAGGCCCTTACGGTTGGGGGTTGACAGTATGTTTCCCCATTTGACCAGCGTCATTTAGAGAGCGTTTGTTTTCATCATTTATGGAACCGTGTTTGAGATCTGAGAGATTTTTTATCATGTGGTGTGTATATCAGGAATATATGGGATATCGATTACAGTAAGTACTTTGAGTTTTTGAATAATAGTACCTAAATATCCGTTGAAAATAGTTTAGAAAGCTTCAATAACCTCTCAATGGCGTCCTCCACTCTGAGCTTACTCTCTCTGTCTCTCTTCTATCCCATTACCAAAATATTTTTTATGTTTAGCGGTGTACAATTATTTCATCAATGATATGTAGAAAACAGTTTCTCAAAAGCTTCTCGATATACAATGGTCACCTCATCAACAATCAATCTTCCACTTGATTATGTGAAATATAAAATCCGAATTGTGCTCATAGGTCCGGATGAGATCAACTCCAGCGATGCTCCATGAATCTCTCAACACATTAATTCATGACAAGAAGATCTATCTCTGAGAATGATTAGGAGCCTGCCGATCCGCCCCAGACTGTATCGATGGAGCCCTACATAATACGACGTAGAACGAGCAAGTCTCTTTGCGGTGGATGTCAAGGTAATAAAATATTTTATATGATACGTGCGTGTAACCGCGTGGGTTTCAGTTGACTATAGTCAACTGGAAAGTAGCGGGTTTCGAGAGCCTACCCACACTCAACTAAAACCCGAAATAACGCATGACGCGCATGCGCATCACCTAATGCTTTCCGCACTAGTTGCGTAATGTACTATTCATCACAACAGATGTTGAATAATATGAACAATGATGTAAAAAAATTTCATGGAACAACTTGACGCTATCTCTACAGCCTTCTCCAAAATTTCTATTGGAATTCTATAAAAGTTCTTCTAGAGTTCTGTCAAAATTCTATTTGTTTTGTGTGCCAGTTCTGCAAAAAGTAATAATTTTTTTTTGTATAAATTCTTTTCCACTTATTTTCCACTATACACTTTGAAAAGAAAATATTTTATAGAGAGAAATTATCCAAGCTGGACAATTCTTGAACAGAAAATCAAAACAGAATAATTTGTATAGGGAAACCAACATCTGTCGACTTTCATCTTTCAAAAAATAAACGTATAGAAAAATCAATAGAAAACTTACCGAATTCATTAGAAAATTCTATATCCGATTGTATTGGATACTCAAAAGAGAAAAGTTAATAAATTTTGAATTTCTGTTTGAGATTTTCTCATTAGATTTTTTCCCTCAAAATTATTGAGTACAGATTTTCTGAGTTTTTTCCATTCAGATCCTATATCGCAAAATAAAACAAAAAACAACCAAAAAACGTAGAAAATTTTTGCCCAATGATTTTGATAGGAAAAATCTTATCACAAAATTTCCAACAGAGATTCAATATCTATTGACTTCCCTCTTCTAAATATCGAACAGTTTCGTCGCAAAAAACAAATAGAATTTTTCAATAGAATGTCAATAGAGGTCCTAGAGAACCTCCATAGAATCCCTATAGAAGTCCAATTAAATTTTCTAACGAATTCACTAGGTTTTCTATTGAATTTTTTTCATACGTGTAACACTTCAAAGTTGCATAATTTTCAATAGTATGGGTCCAAAACACGAAATGAATTATTTCATATAATTCTAATGTCCTTTGATAGATTTAATATAGATGTCTGAATTTATGTTCTGTATTATGAGGAATTTGAGGAGATTATCCTCGAATGTTAATTATGAGACTGAACAATCTCCTATCTCGTCCACAATTGTAATTATTTTTTCTTCGTTTATGGAAAATCGTATGAAAAATAATCACTCTCTGTGTAAATATTGATCTTTGGCGTTTCACATTTCTATAGTAATTTTACCAGTAATGGCTCAGGAAATTTATTGTTATTTCAGAAGGCCCCATGACTGGACTCGCTGCAATTTGAGAAGGATGTGAATGTAAGGAAATTCTTCTATGTAATATTTGTATAATTTTTGTAAATAAAATGAAATTTAATAAAACTGATTATTCAATATATACTTTGCACCCTCAATTCGAAAAGATCCATACCAATATGAAAAGTTATGCGGCATTGTAGTACCCTACTACAGCAACCTAGCATCTAGACGCACGAAACCATGCACTGAAAGGTTGCCGCGCAATCCATCCACAGCGCTATTCAGCGTAACCGATTCAGATAGTGTCTGCCTAACGCCGCTACCTAGCTGTTGGGCTGTGGCCGTCACTGCAACCTAGCAGCTACCCAAATTCAAGTCATAATTTCTACCTGGGATGATTTTTTCATACTTGCTTCATCTTCGAACTCGGTCAAAAGGACACCCAAACAAATTTGTTAAGCAATCATTCAATGATTTCAGAGAAATTTCTTTTAGTTATCGTGAAAAAAACTGAGTTTGAAAAAATTCCAAAATTTTAACAATTAATAAATGAATTTGATTTTAATTAATAGCGATAGATAGGGCTCAACGATACCTACATTTGAGAAAAAAAGATTCAATTCCATTGATTCATTAGCAAATAATCGAAGAAAAATTTGTTTACATATACACGCACATACACCCATACATACGGACACGGTCTAAAAATCGCATTTCTGTACTTTTTGGATCATAATGGGCGATATAACACGAAAAATCCATGACTTAAATTTGAATGATTACAATGCTTCCATTCGGAAGCAAAAATGATATAACATCGATTCAACTGGGAGTTGTGAAGAGAAAAACGTGAATATCTTAAACAGTAAATACAACAAAGTGGGCCCTTTTCATATGGATGCATACTAGGCAGGCCTAAGAGAGAAAGGGAATGAATTTTATGGTTCCGATTCCTCTAAAGATAGCTAAAAAAAAATCAGCAGCCCATCTGAATTTTTACAGATTTTTAAAAACATTCTTAAGCTGTGCTCCACGAAGTTTTATTTCTCATGGAATTTTACACGTCTCGCAGTGTCCAAATGTAATAATGATTTTTTGTAACTCAATAACTCCACTTCTTGGCATCAATTTCCGTAAACTTACTAGCAGAAAGGCAAAGAATACGCAGAATTGAAAATTCAATTTTCCGCAGGATTTGGAAGTTTTCAAAGATGCGTAGGACACTTATGGACTGTGCATTTTCTTTATCGATTCGATTATATAATTGTTGAATTATCGTACTATCATGCAAAGAAGAAGGAAAATTTTTAAGCGAATTCAATGCCGAGAAAAATACAAAACAAAATTCATCAATTTTCATGTAGGTGCAGGTGCTAGACTTATCCGGTGCTTTTACAACGGTCATAAACACGGAAACTGAACTTTAGCAACAAATTTTGGCCTACTGCATTGACCATTTCTGGGGAGGGATTTACCCCTCATTACGCTTGACACTTTTCAACATGTTTTTATTTCTAACATAAAAATATCATAATTATTTACATTTTCTTTGCAAAATTTACATTATTGAATCAATTAGTTTACAAGGATTTCAACAAAACTTGAATGATAAAAATAGCTTACTTCTAATTATCATTATACTATTTTTACAATTTCTGTCTATGACTAATGCTTAAAAGTTGAGTTTAATATTTTTGCCCTCATTTTAATATGGCAATGAAAATGAGATTGGAATCATTGGATGCATTGACTTTTTTCGATGAATTATTGAAGATCACTCACATTTTCAATCGATTTGTTCAAATAGTTTTCTAATGAAAACTTCAAGCGTTCTCGTGTGCAAGCAGGTGTCAACTCCCGTAATTTTTTCACCGCTTGCATCACATCCTGCTTATTGTCTTCATCTTTTGTGAGCAAAGTATTGTATTCGCTCATGAGAGCCACACTTCTTTCAGCCACATCATTTGTAAGAAGAACAGATCTCACAACTTTTGAAGCCTGAATATAACCTTCACAATTTTCCCATTTCGTAGAGTCGACATTCAGGAAATCCTGTTTGAGGTTCAAAATCTTAAAGGTAACGGTATTTTGAGTTACGAATTGATCCTAACTCGCCTCTCTGATAAATTTGATATCTTTCATTCCTGGTTTTCTCTTTTTTCGATCATTTTTGAGTGCAGGACACGATCTTATAGCTTCGCACATCTTTTCCTTGCACTCTACACTCAAATTTTCATCGAAAGAAGAGAAAGCGATCAATTCTTCTGATAAATACCGATGATTCCCAAACTTCTCAAATATCGTATTGTAGACTCGTGAAAACGTAGAACTATGATCAGTTATTTTTCAATAGTTCTAAATCGTTTTTGGGAACTTCAATTGCATTTGATGCTGTGAACGAACTTTTCTGATACAGGAGGACTATACAAATTCTCTTCAAACCTGATATTTCCTAAAATGTCATATGAAATTGATCTCTTAATAGGAATATTTTCAACGAGTAAATTGCCTTCGCCATCTAGCATAATGAATGAGACCCAGCGCTTGGAATCGATTACCATTTGGAAGATTTCCACCCAAGAACATCACCACCAGTTCCAGAAACTCTCTGTAGTCCTTCCTGATGTTGTCAATCTGTTAAGAGATGAATGAGAAAAGGTCAATTTAATTCTTCGATGGATTGAAAAAATTCTTTCCTTGGATTGAGTATTGTGAATTTTTCTTCATAACGTACCTTCAATCGTGAGTAAGCAAATGCCAGGGCGTTTTCTGCATCATTCCTGACTGCTGCTTTTACATCATCATCTTGGACTCCTGGTGAAAATTCTCCTTTCTCAATGTTTTTCCATTGCCCTTGGAATCGTTTGAAAATGAGAATATCTGGCCCAGAAGTTGGCCCCATAGACGCTTCAAAAGCAGATTTCAGCAGTAGTCCCAATACATAATGTCGACAAGCAAGATGCAATAGATTCCTCCCCAATAACTGCTCCAGTAGGACACATGCACCATTTGTACTGCCCGTGTTGCTAGCAGTGGTATCAAATGCCATGGCGCATATATCGTCGAGATATTCCCAATCCTTCAGGCATTTGAAAATGGCATTTACCTGCTCTTCACCACTTCCTCGTTCTAGTTTTGGAACTCCAAGTATAATAATTGATCCCCTTCAATGCCCGATATAAGAGCAGGGAGTCGATCCATTTTTTCGCATTTGTTCTCTATCGATGGTAGTTGTTTGCCATCCCAATGAACAGTGGTGAAACTGGAACATCCATTCTTAACCCGATTTTTAATGGCATTACTCAGAGTCTTCCGTTGAATCCCCCTACTTCGACAGATAATTTCTCGGCTCAGATGAACGTCATCTAGAAAGATCCCGGCTGTTATGAGGGCGGCTGCTATGATACGTGCTGCCATACGATCGCTGACTTTTGGTCGATCCAAAGTGGCGGTGAGGTTCGGAGACAGACGAAAAACTTTCTTCGCCTTGCTGGGCTGCGAATCGAATTCATAGTCGCAATCGCTTTCTTGATTGTCCAATTGTTTCAGGAGTCCATCCAGATCTTCGTCCCACTGGTAATTACTACAATTTGCAAGAATCCTATTCGGCTCGACTGCAAAATGGGAAAAATTGATGAATAATAAAAAATTGATACATGAAAATTGATTTGAAAAATCCAAAAAAATTCGCATGGACTGGGGATTTTTTTAGCCGTCTTTTTCAGGAATCAGAACCCTAAAATTCATTCTCCCTCTCCCGTAGGCCTGCCTAATGCATACATTAGAAAAATCCTCGTTCAATGACCCACGATTTCAAAAACTCACAGTAGTCTCGGGGAAACAGTCGAATTTTACATTTTTCTTTGAAAAATGTATGGCGTTTGACCAGAAATATATGAAGAGCCTTGCTCATGATTCGAGTGTCAATACACGGAGAGAAAAATTCAATAAAAATTACCAGAAAAAAAATTAAGTTCTGAAACGTAATCCGCGAGCGAAGTAAAATCCAATAAAGACTGTGAGTAGAAACTGAAATTGTGTACGAATCGCCACGTAAATTCTACAATTTGTTCCGTAAAAATTAACTATTAATCTGATGACTCACCGCTGTGGGGACAACAAGTCGTTCCCCAATTTTTCTGCAACGATTGAGAAATTTTACGGAAGAGAACGCAGAAATAACTCACCAGCTTTATAAAAATTGTTGGACGTTCAAGAATTTTTTATTTTGGAGGCATAATAAGTCAGGAAGTTTCTGTCAGGTTTTACTTGTTCGGGAAAAATTACGTGACAATTTCGTACTTTGTTCGGCGATGAACCTGAGAATTCACTGAACATTTCAGATTTCTACTCTTCCATTCCTGTAAAAATTGCCGTAATTGTTCCGTAATTTTTTGTGGCGTGAGCCACAAACGAATTATTATGTCGAATTTCGATTAACGCCCCTCGAATATTCTCTATTTTCGTATTCGAGACAAATATCATCCTATCCTTGTTCGTCATGAAATTTCTGGACAATTCTCGAACCTTCCATAATAAAAGGTATATATAAACCCTCGTATTCCCTACCAAAAGGTTCAGTCCGATTGAGTCCGATACCGAAACACGATGTAAACACGTCTCTTCAAATCTAAATACAAACATCTTTATTTAGGCGGTCAAAACGCGGAAAAACTATTCGTTCGATCACGTCGGGGTCACCAGTTGTGGCGGTTAAGTGCGGGTCATGAAATAAGACCTCGTGGTTGTGGAATAAAAACGTTTGTATTTAGATTTGAAGAGACGTGTTTGCATCGTGTTTCGGTATTGGACTGAATCGCACTGAACCTTTTGTTCGGGAATACGAGGGTTTATATACCTTTAATTATGGAAGGTTCGAGAATTGTCCAGAAATTTCGTGAGGAACAAGGATAGGATGATATTTGTCTCGAATACGACAATAGATAATATTCGAGATACGTTAATCGAAATTCAATATAATAATTCGTTTGTGGCTCGCGCCACATTTTTCCTGAATATTTCTCTCCGTGTAGGCGATCCTTGAGAATCGGAAAGCTGAATGATTAGTGATTAATATGTCGTCTTTAGAAATATAATCCGAGCATCGAGTTGCCCCTGAGTGATAGCGTGGAACCCCAATAACGGTGGCCTCGAGCTCCAAAATCCAATGAAATTAATGATCCCCTTAGTCGACTTGAACTCCAAACTTTGATTATACCATGCGTGAAAATTGGGCGTCTGGAAGGGGATTCCCCTCGAGTGAAGAGACTAATCACGATAACAGTTCGAAAGGCAGGATTGAAAAGTATTAAGATGGGATACCATGATGGGATGAAGATCTTCCTATTGATTCTTGAATGTTTTCCTGCATAGAATCCTGGGATGATCGGTAGAAAATCGCTTCTTCTTTATTAAAATATTTAACCACATCTTTCTACAATCTATTTTTAGAAACCAATGTCGAAGCAAGACTGCAAATCATTCAGGATGGACGGCACTCCTTGCTGCGAATTTATATGTCTGGATAATACACTGTCTTCAGTGACAAACGACAAAACCGATGGAATAGACGGGAGCAACGATGCCACTGCTAGTTACGATCTTGGATTGAGACTGGTCGCAAGCTGTTTTACAGCCATTCTATCTCTCAGTCTTCTGTTCTTCCTCATACACAGACTTCGGCAACGAAAAATTCGAGGTGAGATTGGGTTTAGTATGTTTCATACACAGACCACTTTCTACTATATATTTTCAACTATGAAATGCAATTCCAATGTCTAATTGGTATGTTCTTAGGAGAAAGTGCATTGCACGCACGAAAAAATTTAATAGAAAAATTCAACGAATTCGCTAGACAATTCAGTTGAATTTCTAACCGACGTCCAATGGTCGCTAAATCATTAGTTCGGCTTGGCCACTAGGAGGTCGTGGGTTCGAATCCCAGTCTGATCGGGTTTTTTTAACTCCTGGAAACAGGGTTTGGGTGCTCGAAAGGATAGGCTGAGCTTCGGATCCCGACTGGGGGGGACTCTTAACTTCCGGTAAAGGGGGTTAAGGGGCTCGCCTGGGGCGGATTCTGGTGGGGTCCGTCTCACCTCGGCTCTGGACCAGCGCAAGGTTCCTAACAGAGAAATCGACTGTACCGACGGAGGTTTTCTGTGGTTTCCTCCGTCTCTCGCGGGAGCAAATGCGGTACGGTACAGCGTAGCAAGTCGGTCACAGCCGCAAGGTTAGGTAGAGGCAGCCCCCTGACACTAAATCCAATGCCCCTATACAATACGCGTGTCCGCATTATCGAGGCTGTTTCTGACGGCCACAACGCGGCCCTGGATTACACCTGACTGACCCCCTCCATTCTCCCAACTGCCGCCATTTCTCTGCTCTGTTTTAAAGGAAACGCCGGAATAGAGATTAAACTGACATAATTATGCCTACTTGTACAGTCGCTAATTGCACATCAGGTTATCAGTCTAATCCCAACAAATTCCATTTCTTCACGGTTCCGAAAGCGCAAAAACCGTCAAAGAGTGGGGGATAATTGTGAAAAGTGGGGAGCCGTCAGATGACTCTCCGCGCCATCTGTAATGGCTTCAATATGAGGGACACTGAAAACACTGTGTAACAGGGGGCTGGGTAGAGGGTAGATGGCGGAGTAAACCAAAGGGTATGGTAGTTTTGATGGGTCTACCATAGAAAGATAAATTCCAGGCTTCGATAGAACAATATATTTATTATTTGGAACACTGGAACAATTATAATTTAACAATTAGAACGTTAAGAAAAAAATCTGAAATGTGCACGCTAGAGCTGTGGCGTAGAAGTTTTTTTGGTTCGTGCCTCTAGTTCTTCTTCTTCTTCTTCAATTCGTTCTGGTTTTATCCTCTATCCCATTAGAGGCAAGCACCATCTCTCCTCCAAACTTTTATTGGTCTTCTCAAGTGCCACTAACTTCGTTTCAAATAACACCAATCATCAAACAACACAAATGAAATATGGTTAACAATTTTTATGATATGACAATCACAGTTTAACATTATTTTCTAATAAGAATTTATCAATACATAGCATTGCCTTGAAATTGTTACTCAGATATATCTTTTGCAAATCATCCCCAATATTTATATTTAACAATCTGAACTCATTTGCTAACTTATTTCTATTTTTAATATATTTTGGGCAATCCCATAGAACATGGTCTAAGTCCATCCATAAATCCCCGCAACTGCACTCTGGGCTCAATATAATATTTTTGTTGTATAAATGGCTGTGAAGTAAAGTATGATTTGACTTAATTCTATTGCATCTACCTATTATGTTTCGTGAAAATTTCTCTTTTGCAAACCACTGTTTATTGTATGTAAATTTTTTAACATTCAAAAAATATTTCACTCCCTTTGAATGACGACTATCTGGGTTCGCCTCGTTCAGCAAAAATCGGTTAGAATCAGAGATCAATTGTTCCTTAATATTATGGATACATTCTCTCCAATAAACTTTTGTCCCTACACTCAATTCTCCCTCTTCTCGAGCCAGTTTTGCCAGTTCATCCGCATCCTCATTGATTTGAATGCCCCTGTGACCCGGAGTATAAATGATTTGAATTTTTATATTTTCTCTTCCCAATTCTAAAATTTTGTTCTTAATTTCAAAGACCTCTCTATATGCTTTTGGATCTAATCTTTTACCTCTCAACTGAGTAATTAAGCTCAATGAGTCAGAGCATAACAAATTCAGATTACAGGGTTCAATTTCGATGACTTCTAGGGCTTTTTTAACTGCTATAACTTCTGCATAAAAGCTTGAGCAAAAGTTCGGTAATTTAACTTTAACTTTGATATTTCCTTCCCTATCTACAATAGCTGCACCTACCGAATTATCTCCTTTAGACCCATCTGTAGCCCATACTTTATAATTACTGTAATTATCATTTAGGATATCATTAAATTTTTTGTTAATGTTGTCTTTTTCTTTTTTCAAACTAAGCCCTATCACGGAATCTGTCTCTATTGCTTGCCAAGATAATTGAACTGGAAATTCAAAACTATGATGTAAATCTCTACTATCTATATTAACTATCATATCTTTCACCTCTGACCAATATATAAACAATTTATGATAGAATTTTTTCCCTGTGGTTTTCTTCTTCAACTCTTCCATCAACTTCAACTTTGGCAAAATCATATTCCTTTTATCACTAGCAGACTTGAATAGAAATTTCTTCGTTAAGAAAGATCTCCTAAATTCAAGACGTGGTTCCGCTGCTAAATGTTGTAGTATGTTAGTGGGAGTCGTTATGATACATCCAAGAGCCGATCTCAAAGCCGCATATTGAACTCGATCTATTAATTTCATATTTGTTCCACTAGAGTCTCCATAAAACATAGATCCCCAATCTAGTCTAGCCCGTATTAGACCTTTATATATTGTAATCATAGTAGTTTGGTGAGCGCCCCATTTTAAACTCCCTATAGCCTTCATAATACTAACCATTTTCAAAGAACATTGTCTTGTGTAACTAATATGTTTATTCCAATTAAGTTTATTGTCTATAAATACTCCTAAAAATTTGGCTACTTCCGTCGATTTCAACATCTTTCCATTCATTTCAATTTCAAATACTCTATTCTTATCTTTCTGTTGATTTGAGAACATCATCACAACCGATTTATCACCAGAAATATTCAGTCTGACATCTCTCAGCCATTTATCCACATTACTCAGTGATTCTGATAATTCCTCAGCTGCCTCCTCAAAGGAGGAAGCAGTCGAGTAAATCATTATATCATCTGCAAATGACGATATTCTAGAATTAACCGAAATTTTATCTATAATGTCTCTAACGTACACATTAAACAAAAGAGGACTAAGAATAGAGCCCTGTGCTAATCCTTTTGAAGAAATTCTCCTTTGTACGATTTGATCTCGAAATAGAAAACTCAGTTCCCTTCCCGACATAACATTAATTATAAATCTTACTATGGTACCAGACAAGCCTATTTTTATCAATTTGTTTGCCAGGGTCTGTATATCAACATTATCATATGCAGATTCGATATCAAGAAAACCAGCCAATAATACCTTTTTTCTTATAAAATTAATGTTCACATCAGTGACAAAGGAAGCCAAGCTGTCATTACAGGACCTCAACCGTCTAAAATCAAAAAATTGATTTGGGAAAAAATGTTTATTTTCAAGGAACCACTGAACTCTGTTATTAATTATTCTTTCCAGTATTTTTTGAATGCAAGAAGATAAGGCTATCGGCCTATATCCTCTATTATTTGGCTTAGGGATTAAAAATACTAATTGACGTTTCCAATCATTTGGGACTTCACCTTTGTTGATTATCATATTAAATAGTTTCGTAAGTAATTCTATCGATTTATCTGGAAGTTGTTTAATAACTTTATGCGAAATTAAATCATCTCCTGGGGCAGAATGAGATTTTGCATGAGAGATAGCAGCTATAACTTCTTCTTTTTCAATTTTTTTTATCTAACATATTTTCTACTAAATTATCATCTTCAATAACAATATTCTCCGGGATAATTTCCGGTGCTACCTTATTTATAGTTTCAATTATTTTCGTATCTTCCGGGGAGTTATTCTGTCTATTTGTATCATTCAATTTTCTATTTTTAAAAGCTTTAATATATTTCCATATTTTATCGATCGCCATATCAGGATTCAGAGTATCACAGAATATGATGAAAGCTTTTCTTTTCGTACGAAATATATTTTTCCTAGCTTCTTTACATGATTTTTCATAGTCTTGATAATTTTGTTCATTGAAATTGTTAAAGAGATTTTTTAACTTTACGAGATTCAACGTGATCTGAACAAGATTGATTCCACCAATGGGCGGCTGGATATTTCCTTGGTCTGAATGAATTATCTATTATTTTACCCCCCGCTTCCTCTAAACTTTTTACAATACTTTTAGTCAAGTCATCATAAGTTTTAAGGAAATTATCTTCCTCCACCTCTAGCATCTCATCATTTAATTTTTCTTCTAATTTTTTTCTAAAAATTTTCCAATCAACTCTGTTAATAGAGATTCTCGGTCTATCAATTTGTCTCTGAAATTTTCCAAGACTGAAAACAACATTGATCGGAAAGTGATCACTACCCACAGTGTCCATCTCTGTATACCATTGTGCAACCAGCTTTAATTCAGGTGAACACAAAGACAAATCTGGACAACTAATTTTTCCATCAAGATTTAATCTCGTTCTTTCCCCCGTGTTCAAAATTATCAACTCATTCTCAAGGATTGATTCATATATCCAGTCACCCTCCGGGTTTGATAACTCGCTCCCCCACTCCTCAGAGTGGACATTTAAATCTCCACACACAAAAACATTATTCAAGGTTATTTTTGTTAAATCAAAAAACTTTTTCCAGTCTTCAGCTCTAATATAAGCATTTGGCGAACGATAAAAGTTATGGATTTCAATTTTTTTTTTCATTCCACTCAATTTCTATCCCTATCCATTCAACTCCATCTGGAAATTTGAGATTCAGAATCCTCTTGTAATTTAAATATGATCTAATATAAATGATACTTCCTCCATGAACATTTTTTGGCTGATTATATGTAGTACAAAAAAATCCATTAATATCCCGATTTATATCATCTTTTAAAAAAGTCTCATTAAGACAAATAACATCATATTTTTCCACCATCCCTAAAAATTC